TAAAGTCATTTTTGTCGGATATTAGTATTGCTACTACAGCTTTTTTTTTTCCATTTGTGATGAAAATTTTTTCCGAGCCCTTCACTTTCATCCTGTGTGTGTCTTTGTTTTGAGGTGGGCCTCTTGTAGACAGTATAGTTGGGATGTTTTTGTATCCTTTCAGCTACCCTACACCTTTTAATTGGAGCATTTAGTCCATTTATATTTAGGGTTATTATTGAGAGGTGCTTATTCATAGCCATTTCAATTCTGTATGGCTAGTTTTCTTTCTCAGTAATCTGTTACAGCAATCCCTTTAACCTTCTTGTAATGCTGGCTTGGTGGTGATGAACTCCTTTAGCCCTTTTTTTTTCTTGTCTGTGAAGCTGTTTATTTGACTGTCTATTTTGAATGATAGCCTTGCTGGATATAGTAATCTTGGCCTCAGATCCTTGCTTTCCATTACCTTGAGTACTTCGTGCCATTCCCTTCTGGCCTATAGAGTTTCTGATGACAAATCAGGTATCAGCCTTATAGGAACTCCTTTGTAGGTAACAGTTTATTTTCTCTTGTTGTCTTTAAGATTCTCTCTTTGTATTTAATTTTTGGCATTTTAATTATGATGTGTCTGTGCATAGGTCTGTTTGGGTTCTTCTTGTTTGGGGTTCTCTGTGCCTCCTGAACTTGTGTGACTTTTTCCTTTACCAGGTTAGGGAAATTTTCTACCATTATTTCTGCAAACACCTTCTGTATTCCTTTCTCTCTTTCTGGAACACCTACTATTCTAATATTGTTAAGTTTCACATTGTCCCACAGCTCACTTAAGCTGTCCTCCTGTTTTTTTAATTGTTCTTTTTTCTTTTTGGTTTTCTAATTGAGTGATATTTTCAACTCTGTCTTCTAATTCACTAATTTGATCCTCAGCTTCCTTTAATCTGCTGTGTATTCCTTGCAATGTGTTCTTAATTTGTGTTATGTCATTCTTTATCTCAGACTGTTCTTTTTTCATAGTCACTATATCTTTTTTTTATTCTATTGAGCATTTTTAACATCATTACTCTGAAGTCTGTTTCAGATAAATGTCTTATCTCTGCTTCATTTATCTCTTCTTCTGTAGAATTCACTAGTTCTTTAATTTGGGGGTTGTTACTTTGTTTCCTCATTTTGGTTGTCTGTTTGGGTTTGTGACTATGTATTAGGTAGATCCTCTACACCTCTCAATCTCTAGTTCAGTAAAGTGTTAAAGTCTGTTTCTGACTAATTGGATCAGGCAAAGACTCAAAGCCTCCAGAGACAGCCTCTGTCTACAGACTGATAGGATTCCAACTTGAATTGCCCCCAGGCAATTGTCCTCAGGTGTGGCAAGAGTTTTTTATACAGCATGGGGCAGTTGCTTCTGCCTGGAGTCTAACTGTTTCTTTTAATCTCTCTTTTTTTTTTTTTTACTCTTTTTTTAATATTTTAATAATTTTTATTTCTTAAAGTATTACAAAGAGTATTACATATGTCTCCTTTTTTCCCCCCCTTGACATTCCCCCGGCCCCTACCCCCCGCACCCCCCACCCTGTGTCTTGTGTCCATTGGTTAATCTTACATGCATGCATATAAGTCCTTCAGTTGGTCTCTTAATCCCCGCCCCAAACCCTCCCCAGGCTTCCCACTGTAGTTTAACATTCTGTTCAATGTTGCTCTGCTTCTGTATCTACCCCTGTTCATCAGTCTATACTGGTCCCCTTTATTTGTCCCAACCTCACTGGAGTAGTCTCAACCTCACCAGGGCCGTCTGAGCCTCACCAGGGCCGTTTCAACCTCACCAGGGCCGTTTCAACCTCACCGGGGTCGTCCCTACCACACCGGGGCCGTTTCAACCTGACCGGGGTCGTCCCTACCTCACCGGGGTCGTCCCTACCTCACGGGGGCCGTTTCAACCTGACCGGGGCCGTCCCTACCTCACGGGGGGCCGTTTCAACCTCACCGGGGCCATCCCAGCCTTACCGGGGAAACAGGAAGTTTGGCCCTCTGTCCCCTGCCGGCGGTTCCCCACCAGACAAAAATCTCCAGGGGTTCCTGGGGGGCTGAACATCCAGGCACTCCTGCCCTCCACCAAGTGCACAGACTGCCTGTCTGCTGTCCCCCAGCGCCCCACGAGAGACTGGAACCAGTGGGCATGTTTGTGCGCTTGCTGGTACAGCGGTTCCACAGTGCCGGCCCAGTCAGGCCCAACCCCGGCCTGCCCCGGACCCGACTCCGCCCCCCGATTGTGTCCCTCCCAGATGCAAGGAGCTGAAATCTGCAGCCTGCTGGGATGGGCTCTGTACTTGGTGCCTCTGCACATCCTACTCAGTCTCAATGCGCTTCTTTCTATGCAAGGAGTTGAAATCTGCAGTTTGTTGGGTTGGGCTCTGTACTTGGTGTCACATCCTACTCAGTCTCAATGTTCTTTCTCTCCTTCCAGTTGTAGAGCTTCCACTGGGCCAACTTTCCCATGGTTCTGTATGATAGGTGTTTGTCTGATATTTGGTAGTTTCGATGTTGTTGTGTGAGGTAGCATGCACAGGTCTCTTCCTTATGCCGCCATCCTGGTTCTCCTGGGTCTGCTTCTTGAGTGTGTCTCCCATGGCTGCGAGCAGTTGAAGTCTGCAATTTGTTGGGATAGGCTGCAAAAGCGCAGGTGGGTCTTTTTGTGCACCTGGCACAGCTTGGAGGGGATGTAAATTGATTAGGGCTGAGTCTCAGGGAGTCGCCATGGCGGAGCAAATAGCACTGGCTGAGTCTCCGTGGCCCCTTGAATCTCTGCCAGGGCTTTGTGTCCCCCAGTGCCGGCGAGCAGCTGTGCAACAGAGTCTCCCTCACTTTCTGATGGCTGCAAGGCCGTGCTGCCTCTCCCCGTAGGGTCTGGTGCCTCATGATCCCGCCTGAACCAGCTCAGTGGATTTGAAAGTTTGCATAAGCAAAGGCATTTCTACTTGTGAGTCTGGCACAGCCCAGATGGGAATGTAAATTGTGTAGGGGGGGTCACAGGGAGTCGCCGGGGGCGGAGACTCAGCGGCCCCTTGCCTATCCAGGACACCAGGACTTTGCTACCCCCAGTGCCGGCAAGCAGCGGAGCGCCAGAGCCTCCCTCGCTTTCTGACCGCTGGAAGGCCGTGCTGTCTCTCGCCTTGGGGCCTGGGGCCTCAGAGACCCGCCCGAACCAGCTCAGTGGATTTGAGAGTTTGTAAAAGCACAGTCATTCCCTCTTGTGCCTCAGGCACAGCCCGGAGGATAGGGCGGGTCACAGGGAGTCGCCAGCGCGGAGGAAATAGCGATGGCGGTGTCTCCGCGCCCCTCGCCTCCCCGGGACACCAGGACTTCTTGTCCCTCAGTGCCGGCGAGCAGCCGCGCGTCAGAGCTTCCCTCGCTCTCCGACCACTGCAAGGCCGTGGCCGCCTCTCCCTGTGGGAACTGGGGCCTCAGAGAACCGCCCCGAGCAAGCCCAGAGGATTCGAGGGTTCATAAAAAACCGCGAATCCATTTGCAGCCCGCGTGGTGTGTGACTGCGTACCTCTGGTTTTGGTGCCTCCGTAGCTCCCACTCAGTCTCACTGCGCTTCTTTCTTTTCTTCCAGTTGTAGATCTCCCACTGGGCCAACTTCCCCATGGTTCTAAGTGGCGGTTGTTTACCTCATAGTTGATAGTTTCAATGATGCTGTGAGAGAGCTCTTTTAATCTCTTAAGTGGCCTTAGGGAAAGGTGTTTTCCAATAAGGTGTGTCAACTGTCTTCCCCCAGGCAAGGCAGATGTCTATGTGAAAGATGTCTTCTGCTGTGTGAGGGAACGACTCAGCCCAGGAAACTTGGGGAGTCTGCCTTCTGAGCTCTATCCCCTGAGCCTTCAGTCCTGGGTTCTGCTCTCACAGCTCTAGTTCACTTCACCCTCCCTTTGATAGAGCACAAGGTGGGTGGCTCCTCGGGGTATTTTTGTGCATTGACCCTTTAATAGGGGGCCTGAATTTTCAGCTGCCACTCCCTGGAAGACAGCACCCCACTGCTTTTTACATCTAGATGTTATATGGGTAGCCTCTCAGTTTGGTGCTCTCTCCTGGGGAGCCCAGTTTTGGGATTAGATCCCAGAGTACTTAGTGGTGCCCCCCCTTCCTCAGATGAGATATCTCTCCGGGACTTCATTTGCCATCTGTGGGTGTCTGGCCAATCCTTTCATGCCTTTGCCCCTTCTGCCAGTATCTATGCAGTCTCCACCTTTGGTCCTTAGGTATCAGGGTTCTCTCCTGTGAGTTTTCCATTGATTATTCATGAAGCTTTTCCATATTTCACTTGTAATCCTAACTTGTTCCTGGGAGCATGTCTATGCAGCATCCTCCTACTCTGCTGCCATTTTTAATCTCTCATTAATTCTTCTTTGAAGTTTTGCTGGACTTCACCTTTCCATTCACTTGGTCATTGGCTTTTATTTGTTAGAAGGTTTTCACTACAACCTCAATTATTTTTTTTTAAATTCATAGCAATCTAGCCAATTTGGGATCCATTTCCTAATCTGAGCTCCTTCCAAGAGGACTGAGAAATACTACTGTTGATCTTCACAGGGTGTGGTCAGTGTCGAAATAATGGTTGTTTTCAGGCTATATGTTTATTTCAGGTGCCATCCAAGACAATGAAATATAACCACATTTTCTTATATAGGATTCATAAAGTAAAGTGTGTAATTCATGAATGGTTTTGTATCACTGCTCATGTATGAATGCATGTCTTTTTCAAAAACGAGTGTGCAAGTGTGCGTATGTATGACTGTCTATCTGTTATTGTGTTTGTGACTGTGTTTGTAACTGTGTGTCTCTTACACAGTAATACAAGGCAGTGTCTTCCATTGTCATGGAGCTCAGCTGCAGGGAGAACTGGTTCTTGGACATTCTCTGGAGATGGAGTTTCGGCTCTTGAGAGAGGACCTGTAGTATGTGTTTCCATCAAAATTTATGTGCACCATCTATTCCAGCTTCTTTCCTGGGGCTGATGGGTCCATCCAGTCTTAATCACTGGTTGTGATGGAGAATCCATAGACCACACAGGTGAGGGAGAGGGTCTGTGAGGGTTTCACCAGTCCTGGGCCTGGATCCTGAAACTGCACCTGGGACAGGACACCTGTGGACAAGGAGCATCAGTCCTGTCAGTCATGTACAGTCACAACAATCCCATGACCACGTCTGACCCCTGAGACCCTCACCTTGGGGGGCTGTCACCAGTCACAGGAGAAGACCCAGAAGTCTCATCTTCTTCTAGACCACAGATCTGTCTTCCCAGAGACCTCAGCCCTGTGGTAGGGGAGAGATGTAAGCCTGCAAAGCCAGTTGAGGATTTACTCTGGAGCTTAAACAGAAATTTGCATGTGGGTCGCCTTTGCTATAAGTGTAGGGCCTGAGGTCAAGCTGCCCTGGTAATTCTGGGATCTCTGTATGTCAGGGCCACCCTGTCAAGGTTGAGCCGGGCTGAGGCAGGGAGGTGGGAATTGAGAAAAGAAAGAAAGACAAGAAAGCGGGATCGGAAGGACTCCAGTTCTCGAGGAACTGAAGTGAAGTTTATTAGCCACACAATCTTATTTATACACAACACACTGAATAGAAGGTCTGTCAAGAGGAATGTATTCTTTGTTCCTCTTAATCTCTAAGGGAGAGACACAGCAGAAGGACAAGTTCTCAGTACAGCATATCTCAGTAAATAGTTACAGACTTCTTGGTAAGCCATGAAAGGCTGTCCTCATTCTACAAAGGTTGCTCTCATTCTACTGATAATCATCATCCAAACAAGTCTGGGAAAACTGTGTGGGTAAGGGTCCCAGCCTTGCTATCCCCTTCAGGTGCAAGGACCTTGTCAGCTTACATCTGGCCCTCAACAGATCCCCCTTCTTTGTTTTTTAGGCGAAGTTCATGTTTCATTGTTAGACAGTTTTTTTTTATGTGTACATGTCAGCAGTAATATTTCAGTTCTGGATGGTGGACAAATGGTGGCAATGCAGGTCTGACCCTCTCTGGTTTGGTCTTGGGCAACCTGCAGCGATGCACAGCCGCTGACTGTTAGCATGATAAAGCGTCGTCACCATCTTCATTTCTGGACTGCTTCTGTTCTCTTTGTCTCACGGGGCCACTGCTATTCTGTGGCTGGAGCAGTTCCATCAGTTCCTCTCTGGAATCTGTTGTTGCAGGAATTCACATGGACTTGGAGTTGTTTTCTGAAAATATACAAATGTATTCTTGACCAAAAGTTAATAATTATTTTTGCTCAAATGAATTTCCTTTGGCTTATTTTGACACCACGTATGTTTTTTATGGGTGTCTTGCTGTTAGCATTACAAATGAAAAAATTTTTCTAGATGTAAATTAGTTACAGGATATTTTTCCTTACATGGTATTTTTCCACTATCTTTCCACTATCCCCCCTTTTTGTTTTTTAATTATTAGGAGGATTTTTGGAAAATTTATAATGCAGTCTAGATAACTTTAAATTTTAATTTTTTGTACAAAAATATGATTGCTTTAGGTTATTGTATGTTAAGCAATTTTTCCATGAAATGATAATTTTGGTTAATACTTCTTAAGCTAATTTTAATTAATCTGAAAACTTGACTACTATTTTACTGTTAAATTTAATACTCTAATAACAATCTTAGTTTACACTGTAAATATTAATGGAAAGGATTATTTTGCATCCTTGAGAAGGCCCTGAGCATTCCTGTGTTAAGCTGGATTTCGATATAGGGTAGCTGCTGTTAGCCAAGTCTCTGTTTTCTGGGTATCAATCTCGGCTGGGCTAAGTCTCTTTCTGTTTTCTGGGTCCTGATCTGGGCTGGGCATGGGAATTGAGAAGCAGCCATGGGGGCAGGAGACCTCCCTCAGAAGGGGCGAGTCTTCAAGCCCCTGCATAGTTGGGGGGTGAGCATCTGTGCCCCACCTCTGTTGACCCCCAAGTTTTCCCCTGAGGTTCCCTGCGACTCTGCCTGTCTTAGGTCATTCCTCCCTGAGGAATCTTACCCGTCATTGACTAACCAGCCATCCTCCAGGGCCAAGCAGGGTGATGTGAGGTTTAGTTCTGTCTCCTTGGTAGCGTATGCCCCTGTGGCCTCCATTCCCAGTAACTGCCTTGGGATCCCCTCTCCTGCTGGCGAGGCCCCGGCATTGATCATGGGGAACCCAGGTTTCTTCTCTAGAGAGGGCCCAGCTTACACTATTGGGCAAGAGACAGATCTATGGTACCAGCCACCATGAGGCTTTAACCTTAGCATAAACAGAGAGCTTAGGTAACAGCTGTGGGCAATTGGAAGAGGGACCCCCTTGGTAAAAAGGGCAAGAGAGGTCGATACAGAATGCTTAAGTGCCTTCCACACAGTGGAAGGGATTAAATCCTTATTAAACTGCTGCCAAACATTTAAAGAATTACTTTGTAAGTTTGTTTGGGATAAATGCACAATATGCCATTGTAAAATATTAAAAATTATTAATGAGCTTTTGTAGAATAATATCATGTAAGGATATTCTTTGCTCTAGGCCATGGCAATTCAATTTTAAACTGGCTGTCAATTTCTTTTTGTATAGACAAGCTCTTAGTTATATTTTCTGTACCTCTCCCAGGAGCAAGTAGTGACAGTTCCCTACTTCCTTGCCCCACCTATGTTCCTACTGGATACTATATTAGGTGGGGGATCAGCCCACGTAAGGGTTCTTACCTATGAAGGGTTAGGAGCATAAGTCTGAAATACTTCTATATTTGCCCTAGGTAATGTTACCGTACAGATGATTACTGCTAGGATGGCAAGAAAGACATTCTCAGGCATCAGGCGTCTTCTTTACCATGCCCCAGGCGGTCTTTGGGCTGTTTGTTGTCTGGCTCATCCTCCTCCTGCTGGGTTATACTTGGAGAACTTCAATTTAAAAAAAAATCTTTTTCTTTTACACTAAGTAATCTATAGGTTACTTCTTGGATTGATAGTGCCGTAAGGCTATGTATATTAAGTCAAAGTTATTAAATATTTATGGTGATTGTACTTATTTTTATATTTGGTATTTTAACAGCAAATCATTAGATTATTTTATAACTATTAGTGGAAGATACTTCAAAATTTTAAAATTTCTTTTTTTTATTAAATTTAAGATAATATTTTTAAACAACATTTCCTTTTGGTTTATTTGTATATACAGAGGGATTATGGGAAATCTTTAGGAACTTTTTTAGAAGAATTTACTTTACTAAGATTTAATTGCTTATAAAGATACTGGCTTCTTATGGTAGGTGCTTTTATTAATAAATTTAGTAAATTTAGTAAAGTTTTATGTCTGATTTACGAGGTGTAAACACTGCCTATCTCTAGCCTAATTTAAAATGTAACAGCGAGGAGCTTTTGTTATTTTAAATTACATCTTAGAATTCTATTTCTGTATTTTAAGAAATATTAAACAAAATAACTTGTTTTTCCCTTTCTTAGAGGCAAAAACTTAAAATATATATTTATTAATATTTATTTGATAAAGCTTTCTATGTGATTTCAAGTATATTAAATTGGCAATATTAAAAAAATCCTTTAAGAAGAGAGAATAAACTTTTGAAAACATTTCAGGGCCCATGAAATGTCCTAAAGTCATTTTTTGGTTATAGTTTTGAAATCTAACTTGAAAGACTATTAAATATATTTGTGTATATATAATTTAAAGATTATATACCTTTTATAATTATTAAGAGATATCAATTAAATTAAAACTGTTCTTTGTATTTAAAAATTTTGGTTGAGATTATAGAATTTATCCTCTTTTTTCAATTAGATAAATGTTGAAATTTTACTATAATTATATGATTTCTCCCAATTTATTTAATCAGAACTTTAAACTCTTAGCTGGTAAGTTAAATATTTAGCATTTCTTAATCAGTAACATTTTTAAGAATAAACTTCAAGATATAATCAATAGATTTCATTATGTCCTTTAGATTTTTTGTGAGGGAAATTTAGATTAATATTTTAGAATTTTGTTATTTCAGAATATCTAATTTAATTTAGCAAACTCCTAAATCCTTGGGCTGCCATTGACTGGAAACAGGTAACCATTAAAAATGCAAATTAGATACGTTTTTTCTACCAAGGATGGGAAACTGGGAAGCAAGCCTCTCTTTTAGAAGTTGTTACTGGCAGGAAATTTTTGGCCTACCTGCTCTGTTGGGGGAAGGGAGGCTAGCCCTTCCTCCATTAGAAATTGCTTTGGGAAGCCAGCCTTAATTAAAGGGCATAGCTGTCTTTTACCTGGGCTACTTAGATTTTTATAATTAATATATTTCAATAATTCTTGAGATTTAAATCTAATTTATTATTTTAAGGCATATTCTTTAGCAGATTTTTGTAACAGAGATAATTTTACTGAATTTCCTTTTTGGCCTTGAAGTTAACCTTTTAACATCCTTTATTAGTATTTAAAAATTGTTCTTTATTATGGAAATGCCAATCCTGCTGCTAGAATCTAGCCAGCATCTTTTTTCCTTTGGGTCAAATTTGCCATTTTTCTTAGGAAATAATCAGTCTTGGGTTTTATTTTGTATATTTGTAAAGAGATTTCAGCTCAAAACTCTATCTAAATGTCCAAAATTGGACTATGCGTGCATTAGTTCCAAGCGTGTTTTCTCTTTACACGTGCACAGAAATCCCAGACGTATTTTTAAATTTCAGATCTGGTGGCATTTGCTGTAGCTGTATCGGAAGTGCAAGGAAATGATTATTTCTTCTCTATGTGGGAGGTTTTAAATCCAATGATATTTTGTTTATTTCAGTAGGCAAGGGCAGCACCCAGGGCAGACAGAATGTCTTATTCCTATGGATCCAAGGTCCAGCCCGGTACTTCCAGGGGTTGCTCGGAATAGCTCTTTGTATCTATTTTGCTCTCTGGGGTAGGCTGGGTGCTGTGCAGCCTGCTGGCCTTGAGATGGCATAGGGACAAGAGGGTAAATAGACAATGCCCCTGCTATTTGCTGTGGCTGGGCTGGCCCCTTTTGGTAGTTTCCCGACTGGTGTTGAGGCAAAGAATTTCCCTGGATATCTGTCTTAGATTTACACTCATTTGTCCAATGTTTTCCTTTTTTACATTTAGGGCATAGTCCAGGTTGTTTGGGACCTCTGCCATTTCCTTTATTAACCCCTTTATTAGAAGGACACTGTTTTGCTATGTGTCCTGTTCCTCCGCAAGTGTAACACTTGTGTGTTTGACTTTTCCCTGTGCTAAATTGTTGCTGAAGAATTCCTTCAATGGTGGTTCCCTTTAATTCGGCCGCAATGGCGACTCCTTGTATATATGAGGGACCAATATCTGCGCAAATGCGGATATAATCTGAGAGAGTCCCCTTTCTTTGATAGGGCCACAGTGCAGCTTGACAGGCAGTGTTGGCGTTTTCATATGCCAACTGTTTAACTATTAACATGCCAGCCTCTCCATCCACCACTACTTGGCCAACAGCCTGTAATAGCTGAGAGACAAAATCCTGATACTTTTCATCTGGCCCTTGAATAATTTTTGAGAGCTCCTCTGTTTTCTGACCAGAGGTGGGTAACTTTTTCCAGGCTCTGATCCCAGCTCCATTAATCTGTCCATAAGCTTTCTGGGGGTATTGAATTTGATTATGGGTATCAGCATAGACTCCTTCACCTACTAGCATTTCATAAGAAATATTAATCTGGGCAGCTCGATTACGAGAAGCTTGTTCCTTAGCCTTTTCATCATATTCTGATTTCCACAAGAGATAATCCCCTCCTGATAAACAAGCCTTGGCAATAGCTCTCCAATCATTAGGTGGGAGAGCCTCTGAGGCCATAGTTTCCAAGATGGTTAAAGTATAAGGGGAAGTGGGCCCATACTGAGCACATGCTGTTTTTAACTCTTTCAAGGTTTTAAAAGGAAGCGGTTCATAAGCACGCTCACGCTGTCCCATATGAGGGTTCACCTGCTCCATAACAGGGAAGGCGTGAATGCCTAATTCCTCACCACACTTTCGTGCCTCCTACAAAGCCATCTGGAGAGGGCAAAGTGGAACTGGTGCTGCACAAGGCAGCGGAGAGCGGCGGGAACGGCCCCCGAGGCTTCTCTTTTTCTTGCCAAGAAGCTTTAATGCTTCTAAAAAGTGTTCTAACACATCCTCCATATCACTACCCTCTTCAGTTCCAGCAGAAAAACATTCTTCCTCCTCTTCTGCCTGAACAATACCTGCATTATCATCATGACAAAGAGCAGCAGCTTCCTCAAGATCCTCCTCATCTTGAGGAGTTAAATTGTCTTTAAAAGTTACATTATTCCTTTTTAATATACTGTCTTTTTTAGACCCCTGTTTCGTGCTATCACACTGCTTCTCCTTTTTTTCTGGCTTAAGAGATGGTTGATTATGGTCATGCCTGGGATCCAAACAATCCCGTATTAAATTCCATAAGGAAATACAGACCTCCTGAATGAATTTTAAAATTTTTTCTACTTGCTTGTCATTAACCTTAGTTCCTTTACTGTTGAGCATAGACTTTAACATTTGGCCATAAAGGGCATTTTCTCTAGATTCTAACTGTCCCATGCTTTACTCCCGACTATCAAAAAATTTCTCCTCCCTTACCTTAACAAGTGCACTCTTTATCCGTCGTATTTCCAAGCCCAACGGAGTTTCTCACCGTCTTTTTTCCAAGTTCCTCAGTCCCGTAGCTCGGGAGCCATATTTGTCAGGGCCAGCCTGACAAGGTTGAGCCAGGCTGAGGCAGGGAAGTGGGAATTGAGAAAAGAAAGAAAGACAAGAAAGCGGGATTGGAAGAACTCCAGTTCTCGAGGAACTGAAGTGAAGTTTACTAGCCACACAATCTTATTTATACACAACACACTGAATAGGAGGTCTGTCAAGAGGAATGTATTCTTTGTTCCTCTTAATCTCTAAGGGAGAGACACAGCAGAAGGACAAGTTCTCAGTACAGCATATCTCAGTAAATAGTTACAGACTTCTTGGTAAGCCATGAAAGGCTGTCCTCATTCTACAAAGGTTGCTCTCATTCTACTGATAATTGTCATCCAAACAAGTCTGGAAAACTGTGTGGGTAAGAGTTCCAGCCTTGCTATCCCCTTCAGGTGCAAGGACCTTGCCAGCTTACATCTGGCCCCCAACATCTGTAAGGCCATTTCTTCCCTTGACCTCACTCCGCATGTAATAGTCAGGGACAGGGGACCAGCTGGGTCATGAAACACATTGAAATTAGGTTAAAGTATGGCCTAAACTTTCTGAGCATAAGAATAAATGGTGGACTAGAAGAGTAAGTTACACATTTAACTTTTCACAAATCTTTCAAACAGTTGTAAAAGGGATTAATGTTTGTTCAGACCAATGCTGAATCTCAACAACCTAGTGTATCTACAATTTCCAAATTTTTGAATATAGTTTTATAAAATTATTTTCTACATTTATGCAAAAATAAAGGCAGTCATTCTCAATATCTTATATCTTAATGTAGACATTACTTTGACCTGTGAAACAACCTCCCAAGCACAGGCAGGTGGGACATTCTTGGTTCTTGATGCTGGGAAATTTGTGAATGTGTCTACAGCTTCCTTTGCAAACTCTTCTTTTATGCAAGCCCATGGCCTATTGCAGAGTACTGAAACTGATTACATCAGAAGTAGTCATGGCTTTAAGTAGAGAAAAGACAAGAACTAACAGTAGAATCATTCATATGTTGAAATGATCATGGAAGGAGATTGACCTGTTTTTTCAGTCTAGTGTTTCCAGTGATGTCAGGTTCAGAGGGAGGTTAGTTAAGAGAATTCCTACCATATAATATCTAATTGGAAAGGAAACTTTAACCCTGAGAGAAATCTGTCAATCCCAACCTCCTTCTGTCCTTTCCATGGAGGGTCACTGTGTTCAGAGGGTGCTGGGTTCTCCCACAAACATATAACTACCTTAATGCATAATGTGTACATTCTCCCATCAGACAAATGATTTGGAAATACATTCTTTATGTTTGTATTTTCATTTGAACAATGGAATTGTTGATGGCATAAATGCCTTTTAATTTAACCAAGGCTAATTTAAGTATATGTTCTTTATTGGGACCTGTTTTGGGTAATTTTACAAAGAACTTTCCAGAAAATGTTGAGTTTCTACTGTCCATGTGGATAGGCTACAGCAGCCACAGGGACTGGAACAGGTTCTGGTACCAGAGGGGAGTGCTGCTTGGAAACTGCCCATAAATCTGGAAGTGACAGTGGAACTAGGTAAGGGGAGGAAGCTGGACTTGTTTTGAGTCACATGACAGAAATGTGCCTGATGCTCATGGTCAAAGTGTTACTGGACATATGGGTTTAAAGGTTCCTCCAGAGAAGGTCAGGAAGGAAGTGTAGGGCATGATAGAGACACCTTGTATCATTGTAGGAAATACCTGAATAATGATGAGCAGGAGTTTGTTAGAAATAGAAATGTTAAAGATCATGCAGGCAGGGATCAAGAGAAATAAGGAACATGTCATTGCAAACTGGTGGGAAGGGGATCCCTGTTTCCTACATGCACATTCTCACAGTGTCTCTGTTCTAGAAGGTAACACCTTCCCAGGTTCAGGAGATTACCACTTGGACACCTTTGGGGTCCTTACTCACATGGTCACACCATGAATCACCCAAGCCTGAAAATTTTGGATTCTATTTATGAAATCTCTCAACACTGACAGTGAAGAGTGGACACCCCTCACTGGAGGAGCCACAGTGATGGTTTGTCTGTGTGAGGAGCCTTCATGTCATTGGACCAGTACTCCTGTCTTATTCCATCCTCATCATTATCATCATCATCAGCAGCAGCAGAAGTACCACAATTTGCTTACTTATAATTGACCTCATATGCTGTAGACATGGCGTTTATCCACACACAATGACTTTTTATCGAATAATAAGAGTAGGCATCTCCTCTCTTGATGTCATTGGAAATTGAAATAACAACAGCCTCATCTTAAATTGATACAAGGCATTGCAAGCAGCTGATGACCTTGGATAGAGGAGAGATCCCACCCAATACAATGGACCAAGTCCTCTGTACAATTCTATGATCATCATCATCATCATCATCATCATCATCATTATTACCACCAACACCACAACACCACCACCATTATCATCATCATTTGCCAATTTATAGTTATTTTTTCAGTTACAGTAGACGTTGCTTTTGTACACCCACAATGACCGTTTAACACAATGTTTGCTCAATTTTTATAATTTTTAAGTAAAACGTGTTGCCACGCTTTATTTTCTTTTCCATTTGATTGTGGAAAACTTATGGCTCCTTCCTGCCTCTTCTCACTTGGCACCACGTGGGAATCTGAAAAGGAACAATGGGTCTCCTCTACAGAAGTCAATGAGAGGTTGAAACCACACAAGCCTCTGTAGGAAGAATTCCTCCTCTTCCCCACCAGTTCAACTAAATAAAATCTCTGAGCCAGTTTCCTTTTCTGGCTCCACAAAGCAGGTCTGACTTCCTAAAGGGCCTTTTCTGTGCTTCCCATAGATTTCAACTATGTGCATAATAAACAGTCCATGTCCCTTGGTGTGTGTCTTTATCATCAACTTATACATCTGTACCAACCTGTTGTGGGTCTCTCTGCCTCTTCCTGGTGTCACCTACTCTCTGTGCTATGAGTCTGATGACAATTCAATACCCAACACCACTGGGGTCTGTCTTCTCTAACTTTGGGTTCACATACCTGTGGTGGCCACTGTCCAGCATTCAGTTGAGCTGTACTGTTAAGTAAGTAGAGTCTTTTGTTCGATTTAGTGCAGCGGTTCTCAAACAGTGGGTTGTGACCCCTTTGGGGGTCGAATGACCCTTTCACAGAGGTCGCCTAAGACCATCGGAAAACACATATATAATTACATATTGTTTTTGTGATTAATCACTATACTTTAATTATGTTCAATTTGTAACAATGAAATTGGGGGTCACCACAATGTGAGGAACTGTATTAAAGGGTCTCGGCATTAGGAAGGTTGAGAACCACTGATTTAGGGGATGTGTGTCAGAAGATTTTATGATTAACTGTCATTTGTGCGCAAGAGTGTCTGAAAAGGACTCTCTGCCTATTGTGCACGTGATAAAGTTGTCCCTGTTTATAACAGACTTTTCTAACTCAGAGACTTCAGAGGTAAGTGCAGAGTCAGGAACTCAGAGGTTCCCTGAGGGAAACTGTGACATGAAGATGAAATCACACAGGAAACCAGCCCAAACCTCCCACTGCATCTGCTGCTGGGATGGTCCTTGTGTTCAACTACCCCGCGCGCCCCCTATAGTCACAGCTTGCGCTGCAGAGAGGTTTGTGTCTGGGCTCACACTGACTTCCCCTCACCGTGCCTCTTGTTCACAATAATACAGGGAATTGTCCGCGGCTCATTTGCAGGTCGGCAGTGCTTTTGGAATCATCTCTGGAGATAACGAATCTGTCTTTCATAGATGCAGTGTATTCTGTGGTGTGACCTTTGGCTTTGTGGATTGGGTCTAAACCGGCAGTTGGACATCATCTAAGGGTTCCTGGATTGGAGAGGGTGCAGGCTGGGCAGAGGGTACCCCCTGCCCCCTTGCATGAATTTCATGCACTGGGCCTCTAGTGTCAGAATAAAGACAGAGCCCCTTTTATGATCATAAATACAATCCCTTAAACTAGACATAGAAAAGGCCTTCCGTGAGCTCTGTTGCTGAGCCTTGAAGTAAAGGTAATTTAAGATGGAGCAGGAAATTGTGTCTTTAACTCTCCAACTGCTCCTGGGCTGGGCCCTGTGCTGGTCCCTAGCGCCCCCTGGTGTCCTAAGTGCCCCCTGCAGCCCAGCCCTTCTGCTTCCCTCAGGGAGGTTTGTGTCTGGGCTCACACTGACTTCCCCTCATTGTGCCTCTGGTACAGTAATACACAGCTGTGTCCTGGGCTCTCAGGCTGTTCATCTGCAGATATAGCGTGTTCTTGGCATTGTCTCTGGAGATGGTGAATCGGCCCTTCACAGAGTCTGCGTAGGATGTGGTACTTCCATCACCATTAATATATGAGACCCACTCCAGTCCCTTCCCTGGAGCCTGGCGGACCCAGGTATTCCAGTAGCTACTGAAGGTGAATCCAGAGGCTGCACAGGAGAGTCTCAGAGACCCCCCAGGCGGCACCAAGCCTCCCCCAGACTCCACCAGCTGCACCTCACACTGGACACCTGCAAACACAGAGACACAAGGTGGGCTGAGAATCACATGGAAGCAAAAACAGGCACAGGCACAGGCACAGGTCTCAGCGTTCCCCTCTCGTGAGAATGACCTTGAAACATGATCAGGAGGAAAACGCAGCTTGGCACCCAGTCCATGGTGGAGCCGCTGGGGTCCTGTCTCAGGCTTTTGGGTTCTGGGTGTCTCCCCAACGTGCTCGGCAGGGCCCCCTTTTATGAGCAAGAGGAGAGACCCATTTGCATGGAGTCTGGGTATAAGGGTGCAGCTGGGACCCTGGGCTGCATGCCTGACCTTGTCATCCTAGGGGCGACACCAGATGGGAAAGGACTCAAGCGTGCTGGTGACAAGGAATCCCATCCTGACCATCCCTCCCTCCCTTCTTTCCTGAGACCCATCACCCTGACCCCATGCCTTTGGGGGCAGCTTCCAGGATTGAGAGTCCTCCATCCTTGGGGTTTTGATGAGGACCCAGGGGTGCTGCCCCAGGATGTTCTGTGGATGGGGCTTCCTCTCATTCTCCTTCACCCGCCGTAAGCCATGTTGCCTTTCTGGGGATTGGGAATGAGAACTTGCATTGGAAAGATGCTTTTATTTTGAGACTAAAGATTGTCTCCATTATATTCCACAATCAGCTCTTCCATAAACCTCTCATGTGGACATGTGATGGGGCAGGAGACGCTGGGTTGGACGCTGTGGTCACAGTCTCCATCTCAAAACTGCTGTCCCTGTGCCAAGCATACAGCTGCCTTCTCAAAACCACACAATTCACTCAACTTCCCTGCTGTACATGTGCAAAAGTCCTGTTTCCCAGCCTCTCAAATTGGGAGAAGTTCCATCATTCACAAAAGGAGCTCTTGCTGGTGTTGCTTAATGGTTGGAGCGTCAACCTGGGCACCAAAGGTCTCAGGTTCGATTCCCAGTCAAGGGCACATACCTGGGTTGCAGGTTCACTCCCAGCCCCTGCTCAGGGGCAATGGGGAGTCAACCAATCCATGTGCCTGTCTCACATCCATGTTTCTCTCTCCCCCTCCCCACCTCCCTCCCTCCTTTTCACTCTCTCTATCTGAAAAGCAATGGAAAAATATCCTTGGGTGAGAATAAAAAATTAAAAAGGAACATGTTGGCGTTTGGAAGCAAAACCCTGGGTAGAAATTGAGGCACCAAGTCGTCCTTGGGGGCAGGTGAGCCCCTCCTTTCTACATGTCAGAGGGGCCACCTGCAGGTTAGTCCTCAGCTCTTCTTCTGGGGGCAGCCCCGTCCCACAGCTTCTCCCTCTGCCCCATGCAGCACAGGCCCCCGCCAGCTCAGCTGGACTCCCTGGGGGTGAGGCCCCCACTCCCCCACTCGCTTTGCCCCAAGAGGAGACCATGCCCACCCCAGGTCTGAGCGAGGTCACCTACCCCAAAGCCAGGGGGCCGAGTGCCAGTTCCTGAGGGAAACCACGGTCCTGGTGTGGGGAGGGGAGACCTGCCCTGTGGACACAATTGCACAGCTGCACTAAGCAAGGCTCATCCATGAACTGCATCAGCTGCCCACACAGTGCTGATGGATGAGGTGTGCAGGGCGGCTGTCTCGTCCCACAGCCCTGCTCTCTGCTCAGCCTCAGACCCAGCTCGCTCCTCCCCAGGCTGCTGGTTCAGAGACACTGGGTCCTGTTTAAAAGAAATGCAGAGATGAGGGGTTTTCAGGCCTGAGAGGAGGAGGGGGTGGGAGTCAGTATGCAATGGGAACTGGGCTTCTCCAGGCTGCAATCAAAATGCTGTGGAAGTGGGCACAGGCAGGTGATGGCCGCACAGCACAGCCAAAGTGCCACATGCCACTGACTGAGCACTTTGTGGAAGAAACAAGGTAGACACGTGCCCAGGGACTGACAGTCACCTTTCAGGGTGATCTGGTCAGAATTCCCTAACTGGGCCATTATGGGGGAGTCACCCCCAGGCCTTAACTTTTTAGTAAAAGGCTTCTCTTTGCCTAAAGCCAGTCCTGCCCATAGTTCTTGAGCATCAAGGTCAACACTCCTTTAAAACAAGCCCTAACCACCCTTTGAAGAGCACTCTTGTTAAGTGTCCTGAGATCCAACCCCCGCCTGCTCCCTCCCACCTCCATGCAGCCTTCCTTCCCTCCTCCTCAATCCCAAACTTGTCTGAGAAGCTGTGAGAGCAACTCTGACACTGGCATTCTCAGGGGCATCTGAGATTCTGCTTCCTTGCCACTGTCCTAGTTTTGGCTCTTAACAACTCTTAAAAAATTCTCCACAGTTTTGGACATGCGTATGTCAACTACTTCAACATGGTTCACGTATGTTGTGGGTTTTATGCCAATTCACTCACCAAGGAAAACCTGGAAACGTTTCACAGGGGGAGATGGGCACAGCTGGAGAGGCCTCCTTCCTAAGGAAGGGAACCTGACGTCCTTGACAACCAACAACAAATTTGTTTTCCCTCCAACACACAGGAACTCTTTAGACCTCATCCTGGTGAGGTCACAGGTTTTTAATAATTGTGTGCACTTCCCTCTCCACACTGAAAAGAAGCAGGTATGAACATATGTTGTAAATAAAGAAAAGACAATATGTTGATGTAAGAAATGTCCAAACATGGAGAGAATGTTTAACAAGCTTTGATTGGAGCCAGACTGACAACAGTTGGGAAGCAATACCTCAAATGTTCCAGAGAATAACTAGGTGCAGCTGCATTTGTGCATGTGAAGTTAAGGCGGGAAGGTGAGGAAGGTGACATGGGGGTGGGAGAGAGCGAGGCAGGGACTGGGTGACAGGACAGTTACCAGGAGGTGCTCTCCTGAGGGTGGTCATGCTGATGTCACAGGTATGTCAACAATGGACAGGAACAATGGACGGGGTTGCTCAAGGGACAGATGAGCCTTTTAGTAAAGAAGTGATAGGCCTGGGGCGGGCCCACCCCCAGGGCTGCCCAGGTAGGAATGTGTGATAAGAGTCTCCTGGGAGGTTCCTTTCAGTCCCTGGATTATGTCAGAATAAAGACAGAGCCCCTTTTATGATCATAAATACAATCCCTTAAACCAGACATAGAAAAGGCCTTCTGTGAGCTCTGTTGCTGAGCTTTGAAGTAAAGGTAATTTAAGACAGAGCAGGAAATTATGTCTTTTCTTAACTCTCCAACTGCTCCTGGTCTGGCCCATATGCTTGTCCTGAGCGCCCCCTGATGTCCTGAGTGCCCCCTACATCCCAGCCCTGCTGCCTCCCTCAGGGAGGTTTGTGTCTGGGCTCACACTGACTTCCCCTCACTGTGTGTCTTGCACAGTAATACACAGCTGTGTCCTCCATGGTCACGGACCTCAGCTGCAGGGAAAACTGGTTCTTGGACGTGTCGGGTTGATGACTAACCGACTTTGGAGAGATGGCGCGTACTCTCTGTACCACTTGGACCTGAAGTAGGTCCTTCCCAACCACTGGAGCCCTTTCCCTGGGGGCTGCCTGATCCAGTCCCAAGTGGCACTGTTGCTGGAGACACTGTCTCCAGTGATGGCACAGGTGAGGGACAGGGTCTGCTAGGGCTGCACCACTGTGGATCCCGACTCCCGCAGCTGCACCTGGGACAGGACACCTGGGACAGAAGGAAGCAACAAGGTTAATCAGTCCACATCTCTGTGAACACTGCTGTGAACCCCCAGGTCCCCAGACACTGACCCCAGGGGAGCCCCAGCATGGGAAGGAAGATGAGGAAGGAGACAGCCATGTCCCTGGGTCAGCCAGACTCAGCAGGCTCTGTGGCCCCAGTGGAGGCTGTATTTACACAGGAAGCCACGCCAGGCATTTGCCTGAGCATCACTCACTGATATAAGGCCCCAGGTGCGCACAGCCCACTGAGGCATGGATCCCAGTTCTGCAGCCAGATTTCTCCAGAGCCGGGTCCTTGGGCAGGTGGGACCCAAGGCAGGGGACACAGACAAAGGTGCTCAGAGAGGAGCCCCTGGGTGTGGGCGTTGTGGACCTTACACCAATTCCAGAGCCTGTTTACCAATATTAATTGATTAGACTTCATTCTTTCATTCATTCATTCATTCCACCAACACTGAGGGCCTGTGACACTCCAGTATCCCTCTAGGCCAGTGGTCGGCCAACTGCGGCTCGCGAGCCACATGCAGCTCTTTGGCCCCTTGAGTGTGGCTCTTCCACAAAATACCGACTTCTGCCCATGGGCCACGAAGTTTCAATCACACTACATGCGTGCCCGAACGTGATATTTTGTGGAAGAATCACACTCCAGGGGCCAAAGAGCCGCATGTGGCTCGCGAACTGCAGTTTGCCGACCACTGCTCTAGGCAACAAGGACAAATCAGTGAAGAAGACAGAGGCCCTGTCCCCGTGTCCTGGGGTCACACACCAGGTGCTTGTGTTATATCGCAAATCAGGGAGCTGGACAAGACGCCTAATAAGCCAATTAGTTAGGAGTCATCTTTATTGCATGCAGATTCAGAGCAAATTACCTCTGTCAAATTCTGAGCAAACACAGGAGGGAGTATTTCATTTTTATATCCTTCTAGTTTTTTGTGTAAGACAGCTTGTAACCTTGAGTACATATCATATCTATATAGACACCTGTAACCTTGGATGAACAAACACTTGGCAGAATATGTGAATTAATATCAGTATCAGTGTATCAGCCCCTTTAGATGGCTAGCTTGCAAGGTCAGACAGTTAAGTTTATCTTTTTCTATTACTTGAACTAAAAACAAAGTCATTCTATAGAATAAGAGACTGTCTTAAAGTGACAGAGTTTACAATGACAGAGTTTATAGGACCAGGGAATATCTAACAATAGCAGAGAATTTCAAACAGCAGTTTTATACAAGGTGGAGGTTACTGTGCTTCACTTGTGTCTCAGACACACACCATGTGGTTCCCAGAGCTGGGCAACTGGGGAACCTGGGAACAGAGGGCGCAGATGAGGGTCTTCAGCCCAGGGGACTCACAGGGGAAGGACATAGGCCTGGACTTGTGTTTTGCCTCCTGATGAGGTGTCCTCATGGTGAGCACAGGGAGCTGGGGACTAGAGGGCATCTCTGCAGGGAGCAGGGGCAGGAGCAGCCGAGACACCAAATGGCCAGGTGGATGCATAGAAGCTTTTCCTTCTAAAGTGACCCCAGTGGTTAGTCT